TACACTCATACATGCAAAAATATCAGTAAATACGTAGGCATATATATCTAGAATATAGCACAGAAATTAAAAATATTGGTAAAAGTGGAAGAAGATAGTGAAGGAACAAAAAAAAAAGAATTCACCTGTTTAAAGTACGGAAGCCATATGTTTTCAGTTAAAAACGAAAATGGAATCGGATTTCGGTCTGGTTGTTGCGGCACAAATTTGCTAAAATCTATGGTTTTCTTGAGCAATCGAGCTGGTGTACCCGTACGAAAACGCCCCAGTTTAAAACCGAGTCGTTTGAAAGTGTCAGAAAGTTTTGTACACGCCTGAAAAATATGCCAGCAAATGCGCAACTTACAATATTTCATTGCTCAACTCTATTAGATGAAATAACTCATTTTCTACACGTTTTTGCATTTTTATGCCAATGCAATAAGTAGCGATCCGCACCAGGGTAGTCGGTGCGATTGTGCATTTTGTGGGGCTTCGTCCAGAGAACGTTCGCCTCCAAGGATTATCACCGATTTGCACTTTGATCTGTGCAAAAATAGTTGACATGTTTTTCGGTTTCGATGTTCCGAAATTTTCCACTAAAAATTTCACATGTCGGTACGTAAGATATAAGTATACTGAACACTGAATTTGAAACCTTGGACGGTATAAATCCTCACAAAAATCTCAACTTCCTAATTTTCTGGCTTTCGTGTGACTTTCGCGCCGAAATTTTCATGTGGCTGTACACTAGAACTTGGCATTCATGGGGACCAAATTTGAGTCTGTGAGGTTCCTACATAGACAGAAAACATCCTCCTTAAATTTTCGGCCTCCTAACTCTTTTGGTTTTCAAGATAATAATTTTTCTCGTCAAAACTCTAACGAGTCTGTTGAGACGTAGGCAGGCTGAATTTGAGTTTGTGGAGAAGTATGTGGGCAAGGGACACTTCCGAGCTTTCCTGGTTTCCGAGATAACAATTTTCATCGCCGAAGCTTTCGTAGGATCGCACTTGATACCCAGAGGTGGGAGAAGGCTGAATTCAAACTTGCCAGCTCGTACGTGGGTGAGGGGGCATTACCATAAATTTCAGCTTCCAAACTCTTGTGGTTTCCGAGTTGAAAGTTGCGGACCGAATGCACTCGAACATACACACACACAGACACACACACACACGCATACATACACATGCACACACACAAACAAACACACTGTTGAGAGATTGCCAGTATATGTGTGTGCATGTGTACTCAGATTTTTGCCACCTACATTCAACTGAATAACTGAAGCTAGGAAGCTGGAATTTCACAAGGATATTTCTAGCCTACGTGCTATCAAAACAGCATAAAGTCGACACTCATGTACGCTTCGCCTCAAATACGGACGCGTGGAAGTTTCTATGCATGTTTATTGGCGGGAAACGGATTTTGAGAATAAGGTAGGAAGCTGAAATTTCACAGGAATGTCCTATGCCCGTGTTTGAGCTAACGATTTCAAATTCAGCTTTACCGCACATATACGTCACGCGTTCGGACAAACTAAATTCATTTTTGGCCAGATGCTCTAACTTTATGAGAATATTTGTTTTTCAAATGCGGACATGTAGACACAGATTTTGCCACAAGTCTGTGTCGTGCATTGGGATTCTCAAACACATTTATATCGAACAAATGATTTCGTCAATTAGTTAAGCTAAGAAAATGAAATTTAAAGGGGATATTCTAAAGGGAGGAGGGGACTGGAATTTTAAAGGGGATATTCTATATCCATACACAACCGGAATATTTCAAATTAAGCTTTAAAGCGAACCTAGGCTTCGTTTGCGTGCAAGTGAAAGTCTAGAGAG